TTGATGAGGATGTCAGTCCAGTATGCAGCTGCTGTGAAAAGGGCACATTCTCTGTTTGGACATGATTAGAAAAGGAAGATAAAACTGCTAAATAAAAATTATACCCACTGTACCAATGCACCACTACATGACGCAACCATACTATGTACGGTTGATCACTTGCACCTAAAAAGAATATTACAGAGTTGGAAAAAGTGCAAGAAAGGGACAACTACAAATATCAAAGGGCTGGAGCAACTCCCCTACAAGGAAAGATAACAACATCTGTGATTGTCTGGTTTAGGTAAAAGGTGAGCATTGGGACACAAGACAAACTATGCATGGGGAAAAGAAAGTAGAAATGTTCTCATAACACTAGAACCCAAGGTTATCCCATGAAGCTCATTAGTAGGGGATTTGGACCAGATGAAAGGAAGTACTTCTTCACACAATACATAGTTACACTATGGAATTCACAAGTTCAAGTGACACTTACCAATGTGAACAGCTTCAAAGACTTACTGGATAAATAAGGCTATTATGGAGGATAAGGTTATCAGTGGCTACTAATCCTGGACACTGTATGTTACCTACAGTATGGCTATGGACATCAGCTACTGGGGAACATGAGCAAGAAGGTACTGCTATACTCCTGCTCTGGTTGTGGGTTGACTGGTTGGTTGGCTTATTTAATTTTCATACTGCCCAGTAGCTGAGGCACTCTGGGCTGTTAAATGTTTCAAAAAAATTAAAACACAGCTACAACACACATAGCAGCTGCAATTTAATCAGCATAGAGGTTTTCTGTGGATAGCTGGTTGGCCAATGTGTAAATGAAGTGCTGAACTAGAAGGCTCTTGGTCTGATTCAGCAGGGATCTTTTTATCCTCCTATTAATAAATAAAAGTTGAAAAATGTTTTCTCTTTTAAAAATTAGAAATATCTATAGAAGGGTTTTTGATTTTTTTTGGCTAAATTTCCAGTGCCAAGTAGTTGTTTCAGGGCAAACAAAGAGAAAAATGCCCCTTTCTTTAGTTGCACTAAATAATAAATTTCTATTTATTTCACTATTTCTAGTGATCACTAGCAAACATAGGAATGGCAAGGAAACAAGCTAAGATAGTATCAAAAGGAATACACCCAAGATGCTGGGTTTTTATTAAGCCTGAAAAGAGCAGATAAGAATTCTGTCACTAAACCACCAAGCTAAAAATAGGGTGGGTGATTCTAACTCTGAAGAAGGAAAATTACAGAGGCGCTCCCATCTGATGAAACATGTTATACCAAGGGCTGCATCCCACCACCAACTCATACAGCTGCTCTTCTTCTCCCTAACAAGCCACTGGCCCACATCACCTATCTGTCTCTTCTGAGGACAGCACCAACCAACCTCCACCTTCTTCCTGTTGTTGTAGTGTCACTCAGGGGATCTATCCCTATCCTTGACTGGCAGATGCCACAATGACAGGCTATGGTAAGCTGCTGGAGATACAGGTTTCTTTGCACAACCCACTTCACAAGGCTGTTGTGAGAATAAGATGGTAGAGAGAAAAACCCATGTCTACTGCCATATGCTCCTTAAAAGAATCCTGGGATATTTATGGAATGCTTAAATAATAAATATAGCCAACAGAATTGTGAAAGCCTCTCAATTGTTCTGGCCAGATCATAAGACCAACTACCCAAGGACCCAACACAGTGAAATGAGAAGCAACAGAATGATGATTGAGTTCTAGGTTCTTTTCCAAGCACACCTAGGAACAGTACTAGCCATTGGTGTATCCTAGATTTGAGAATCACTGATAGTTCATGAGCCTGATTTTAGATAAGCAAGGCTAAGTATATTTCTGTAAAAGCTGAAATTCTGCATCAGATAACACAAATTCTGTACCAAGAAAAGCTGGATCCTGTCACTGGTATAAATTATGCAAATTGGTTCTCTTACTTTGCTTAACCTATGCTGAAATCCTGCGATTTAGTCTAGAAATGGACATGGAGCTAGGCAGGATGCAAAAGCCCCATCAGCTACCCTTACTTTAGTGAATCCTCGGGATCTTATCAAATACAATTAGCTTCAATAACCTTAGGGGCAGAAGCTTGTCTCCTGAAAAAAATGGCAATGGTGATTTCCAGGAAATTGTGCTTTCACTGCTATCTACCAGAACTATACTAAAGGTTCAGCATCTCTGTTATGTAAATCACCTCCTAACATGATTTCTCACCATTAAACCAAAGAACAGAGTAATCCTGTGCAAGTTTAGTAAGAAAAAAGTCCAACTCCCAGCATTGCTCAGCTAACCCTGTTTAAAATACAATTGTAGGGAAAATATTGCAAAAGCTTCCATTCTGTACTGCATGATTTGGTGAACCATAACATAAGCAAGTGAAGTTGGGCAACATTGCCAGCACAGTCCTGTTCAAAATGTCATCAGCGCCCTGTGTTTCTTTATTCCACCCTATTACTTGGATGTTTTGAGAAAGGACCACCCATGTTTCCTGGAAGTGCCCATAAAGAAGCCATTATTCCACCTCAAGATCATGCCATTTATATAATGGAGCCATTTTGTTCCTGGCACAAGATCTACAAGACAGCTAAACATTTTTAAAGGGCATTTAACCAGCCAATATTTGGCTACAGACTATGTAGCTGACTGCCAAATAGCCCAAGTTCCTTAACAAAATTTTCTTGTTGGAAAAATGGGTATATGGACATTTTTCTTGATATAAATCTCTATATCTGATACGGGGGGGGGGGGGGGGAAGAGTAATGTAACTCATTCACCTTTAAACACTGAAATTATCTGGAATAAATCAACTTCTGAAAGTCAGATTAATGGCAGCTTATGCCAGCTACCTCTGGACATTCCCAAAACAAATTCCCAGGGCAGGAACAATTTCCAGTTCAAATTTCTATAAAACTTTAGCAGAGTGGGGGTGGGGTGCATTTTGTTTCTGTTATTTGCATCTTTCTTTTCCATCACCTCAGCAGATATCTGAGACATGACTGATAAGTTGTCTCTATGGAGAAGGAAAGGAAAGGAAAGGAAAGGAACAAGAATGGCTCAGACTCTCAAATAGAGCTTGCAACCATAACATAGCCTGAAGTTCTCCATGCCATCAAATCAGATGCAGTAGGATGTAGAAATTCTCCTCTGCCCCTTAGCCTTTCCAGTTCACTAAATAATGCAAATTGTCTTGGTAGAAACAAGAGTCCAGGAAGTCTTCATCCTCAAACTCTTTCTCTGTCTGCACCAGGATGGGAGGAGGAGGAAAAGAAGGGCAACAATGTGGGTTTCCA